TATCTATCTATCTATCTATCTATCTATCTATCTATCTATCTATCTATCTATCTATCTATCTTACTGCTGTAAACCTGCTGTACTCATATAACACGAAAAAAGCAAAGTAGGCTACTGAATACAGAAAAACATCCAATTTGAATTGTGTATTTGTTAATATATTCATTTGCTCTTAAACAAATGTACTAAAAATGTTAAACAGTTCAATATTAGTGTTTATTTGTAGCAATGTTTTAGCATAAAGGAGCATGAGAAATTAAAATAAAGATGCATTTAAGCACTGTAGGCTTAGAATACTGTGCAAAAATAGTGAGCCACTCCTCATTTCGTGTAATGTGGCAAACCTCAGCCTATTCTTCCTGTTTCCCTTCATTAAGAATGACTTTTATCACACCCACCCCTTTACTGAGACCCCTTCTGATGAAACTTCAGGAAAACATAGATGGGTCAGATGCATTTCTCAGGTCTTATGTCAGGTCTATGCTGGATTTGTAAAATTTCTTAATAATGTTCACCTGCTGTAAATATTTGTTTAAGCCTACTTCTTCTTCTTTTGCCCTCAACTTGTCCAGATTTCTCTTTCTTTGCTGTTTTTTAACGACACACTGCATAGTTGTCCTGATATGCCAGAACAGCTAATAACTATTTATGAATAGCCATGTTGATGCAAAAATACTGTATTAGACTGCATTGTATTTGACATTTTTTGATTAACAAGAAACAAACAACAACAACAAACAAACAAACAAATTCTTTTAAAATGGTCAGGTACAAGCACTGAACTGAAAATAAAAAAGGACCAGAAAACATAGAAATGAGGGGCTTTTGCACAGTCCTGTGCACTGTGATCGTCACCTTCACACTAGACAGCATAGCAGGGGCGGCACCGAGGGGGAGCACTGAGGGGGAGCACTGAGGGGGAGCACTGAGGGGGAGCACTGGCCACCCCCAAAATTTGCCCACTTTGTGTGTCTCTTACAATTTCCCGTCGTCAGCCCCTCCCCTCTGCTGTGCCCCTGCACTGCTCTGTTTTTGGTGTTCCACCCCAGTATTTTTAGTGGCCTTCATATGACCACCCCTATGAAACAGTTCTGGAGGCGCCCCTGCAGC